TCTAAACTACAGAGGCATGAATAAGCTACTGTAATAAAGAGACTCAAATTTAATAAAGACCAGAAAATGAAATAATTAATTGTCTTTAAATGTGTGCCTTCACTTGAACTATAAAACAGGGTGTTGTCAAATAAAATCAGATATTACATTATGAGAAAGTCATTTTACAAGGATTGTGTTTCAAGGTTCATTCCTGGGAACTGCATGCTCAGAATTCAAGTTTAGGGGCCTCTCTGGTGGCGCAGTGGGTTGAGCACAGCATTGTGAAGCTGTCTACAGCCTCTGCAGCGCAGGTTCGATTCCCGGCCAGCCACGGAGATACCCACATGGCGAGGCAGACCTCTCCTGTCTCGCTCGCTGCTCCCCTCAGCAGTGTATTTCAGTCCTTCTGCCTGTTCTGTTCCCTGCTCTGTCTCTGGTGAATCCTCTCACCCTCCCGCGCCTCTGGCCTGCACATCAGTGCTTGTATAATATTAAAAAAAAAAAAAAAGAATTCAAGTTTAGGATCGTGAGGGGGTGGGAGTGGGGAATCTGCACTTGCAAAATACCAAAAATAATGTAAGCCAATGTTACCTCACTTAAAAAATTCAAAATTTAAAATAAATAAAATTTATGATTGGCCTGACCAGAACTTCACAGTGAATCAAAGAAAGGGATATACCGTGGTAACTGTGAGCCCTCTTCCTTTCCACTGAGTCTTGACAAGTTGGGGATATCTTTAGGCTCCTTGGGCTAAAGGAGCCATATACATCCAGAAACCCAAAGGGATTATGCTATGCTTTCATAAACAGCGAAGACTAACTGGCAGCATTGCCACAGTTTTTCTATAGTGAGACTATGTTTATTTATACTAGAAAGTCAAAGGCATGTTACTATACTACTAAGTATGGAAAATGAAGATGGAAACTAAGCTTTCAGATTAAGATTTTATAGACCTAAGATTTTCTACTAGGCTAGTAAAACCTACTTCCAAAGACTAAAAACTGGATGAGGAGAAACAGAGAAAATGCTAAGTTATCTTCAAATTTTTATTATAATTATTGTACACAAATAAGACCTGTCTGCTTACTGTCATTCAGCTATTTCAGATATTACTTTCTAGATGACAAAGCAAAATTAATCGTTCCAAAGAGTCTTGGCTAAATATTATTTTGAGCAGGAGCATCTATGGTTTCCTAGTATTGAGACAGCATGAATTTCTTCAAAAAGCTCTGCTCTTAATTTAAACACAGTGAAATGAGTCTTAAATAATTGCATCATCAGGCTATAAATACCACAAATTGCTGCTATCCCACTGAGTACATATAAGTGTGTTCTCACATAGGAAAAAATTCACATGGAAAACAGATATATTTTAAAAATCACATTTGACTCAGTTTAATAAATAATCCCAAATATTTTCCTTTTATTGAGGTAACATTGATTTACAATACTGTGTGATTCAGGTGAACAGGTTCACACATCATCAGATGCATGCTGTCACCCCACCCTGGCCATCCAAGCACCACTGTCCTTTATCCTAGACCACGGGGTCCCCTCCCACCTTTATTCCCAAGTCCACTTTCCCTCCCCTTCTAGTAGCCTCAAATTTTGCAGTCATATTTCCAGGCTTTATTACGGTTTAGCTTTCTTAGCAAGAAAATGCCCAAGAAAATGTTTTGTGGAGAACCAAGTCTTGTCATTTTGTCACAAATATACCAGCTGCTGGGGGGAGGGGGGAGGATGGGAGGAAGGGATGGTGGTGAAAAGAATTTCTAACTTCCATTTGAAATGATGGTTAAAGATAAGTATTGAAGCATTACGTACATCACATTTTGTGAGCCTATATATACAGATTTGTACAATGCTCACATTCTCTTCTTTGTGAAATTATTCTCTATTAAGATCTTATTTTATTTATACATGCTGCTTTGCTGTTGTGTGTAGGGTGTTTTTTTTTGTTTGTTTGTTTTGTTTTTTGTAACAGCATTTTCTCTTGTCTTCTCATACTACTCTGGTGTTCTGTAATGTACTATATATCCTTTGTACTAAGAGAAACCTCAAAGATTAAAAACCTGTCAGTCAAGAATGGTGACTTTCACATAGTGTCCACACGCCAGGTACACAGTGTCCACAGCCCCTTCCTTTAGGCAAGCCCCACTGTGGGTTGTATGCAGCAAGCTGCTTAGTTGAATTATCTACTTATCCACCGTTAATCCATGCCACAGCATTTTGCATTACTGCAGTCCTGGCCCACCACTGTCAGAGGATTTGATGTTTGAGGCACTCTATTATCTGATACACATGTGATTTAACTGTTACCATAATGGTAAGGAATGCTGAGTCACTTCCCTTTGCCTATCTGCCTAGTGCCCCATGCTGTGAGAAATATCTGCACATCATCACAGATCCTAGAAAACATTTTCTTCCAACCTTTCATAGCCACAGATAGCTCCTACGTGTTTAATTGACTTTATACACTAGCGATCGCTAGGGTGTTCAGAACATGGCTTATTGGGTGGAAAAATGAATATGACAAGAGGACACCTAGGTCTGCATTGTGACTCTTCATTTACAGGCTGTGGACTTCAGCTAAAACTTTCTCTCATGACCCCTCAGTTTTATAATATATAAAATGAAGATAATAATCCCTATTCACATTACAGGGTTCTCTTACAGCTCAAATAAGATAAAGTAGGTGAAATATCCATGAATTATACCTGTTATATTAAAAACAAGTATATAATTTTAACAGTCCTAAATACTAAGTCCTGGCTCAGGACTCACACATATTAAATGGGATTTTAATATCACACAAAATGGACATGACCTAATAAGAAATTAAACAATCTCTTCTCATCCCCCTATTTTTAAAGTTTATAATTCTTTCATGCCACATAAATAACAGAATGAGTCTTCTAACACATACCTATATACTCTTCACCCAATATCAAAGAAGAGTAAAAGAAATTTACCTCAATTTTAATTTAAATTTTTTACCTAATCTATATGGTTTTCCAGCTGTGTTGTTTTCATGGCTCCTTAATTAGTAAGGCCAGTGCAATGTCTTTGTGACAGTTTCCTCTGCTGTCCCTTTGTATGACACACTGAGCTGTGTATTTGAGAATCTTTGCCAAATCCAGTAAAAACTTCATTGTATATTGCCAGAAAGAAAAAAAAAAAAAAAAAAAAAAAAACATGAGCAGACAGTAGCATCTCTTTTTTCCACTAACATTGTCAGCAATTAACAAGTGTTATCAGGCTAACTAAGCAAAGCTTTGAGAGTAAAGGATAGATCTTTTTTACATTCAGGATGTTAAGAATGCTTTTAAGTGGTCAACACAAATGGTCAAAATGCTGCTATTACAAACTTCAATGTGTTTGTAAAGTAACATTTTTTGAAACACTTCCCTTGTCTCCAGGTTGGAAATCTGCCCATCTTTGCAGAGAACATTAGCAGGCCTTGTCCTTTAGCAAGAATTCTACTAACTGCCTGACCATTTAAGCAAATACTTGCTGAAGCACCTTTTCAAGTACCTACAGGTGTCCCCACTGATGCGCCAATGATCATGCTGTAAAGAGCAGAAACAAGAAGAAATGTGCTGCCTGCCTCAGCTCAGCTCCCCTTTCCATCTGGCCATGATGAAACCCAACAATCAGAATATTCTCCAAATCCACCAAAGGCTTGAGATTAGGTGAGAACCACGCCACAGTGAGTTACTTTGGAAGCTACTGTTAATAGCCGAGTTAGGATATGATATGTCCTAGACCTCTGACCATTATTTAAAAAAAATTTAATTATCAGAGATTGGAATCTTGTGAATATTGGAAAGGAGCCAGAATCTCTGTGTCAAATCAATTGCCGAGGGAGAAAACAGGCAAAATAAGACCCAAAATGGTTCAGGAAGAAATCTGCCATAATCCGAGACATAATCCAAAGGGCTGCCTACCAGAACCCACTCTAGGGTGGGCAAGTGAGGTGTCTAGAACACAGGACACATGAGACATCGTCCATCTGCATAGCGCTAGCCTCTGCCCTGTTGCCAACAGAAGCATCTGATCAAATAACTTCCTTTTAACTGTTAAAAGCAAAACCAGTGCAGATACACTTATTCAATAAGGGCAGCGATGAGCAGTCACCACTACTCTCTTCCATTATACTTTATAGCATTCCCAAAGTGCTTTCATATGTATAATCACATTATGTGAATCAGAACTTCCTGAGGCTAGAAGTGCAGAAAGGATTAATCCTACCTCAGAGATGAACAAACAAGTTTAGGGGAGCAGTAGGACTTGATCCAGGTAATAGACTTTGCACCTGCTTTCAAGCCTTCTAATTCCGCCCAGGATGCTTCTCACTACATTACACAGAACACCAGTTTTCCCTCTGATGTCCTTCATGTAACATCTGATTTTATGGCCTACGTCAATTAAGATTATTTACAAAGTCACTGCAGTTGCTGGTTAATATTAACAAGAAATGACCTTAAATTTGTCTATTGTCTGCTACCCATAAATAGGTTTATGAGAAAGGAAAAATGAAAGGAATTCACCTAATGTCCTTAAGGTCAGACATACCAATTAAGGAGAAGCCAAAAACATTTACAAATCAATCTCACATTTGAAATTTTTACTTATTACTGGCTGCATAGTAGAATCATTTATTTAATTTATGCTATTATTAATAAGGCTGGGATACTATTGGAAGCAAATCAGTAACTTTGCTGAGCGGGTAAAGAAGCTGGAATTAAGACAAGTCTATACTGAATCAAATCTGAGCCTGCTCTCCCTATACCGGGAGACAGTCAGAAAAGAGCAGCGGGGGAAGACCTCTGTCAGTGAGCAACAGATGGTCTGCCGGTCTTTCTCTGCACATCCCCACGTCAGACAAAACCTTTCTGACACTAACCAGAAATACAATTTAGGTATCCACCTAAATCTGAATTGCAAATCTTATTTCCTGGATGCAGTAGATTAATATGGAGAGGGTCTAAATTATTCAAAAGTGAAGGGAAACTTACTCCTCCCCATGTCTCCTTGTGGTCTGCTGCAGGTCCCCGGATGACGATTCCCTGTATTAAAACACAGCACACACACAGTCAGATTCACAGAGGTCGAGTCTCCATCAAATAAATTCCACTAAAGCTGATGCAGTCTACATGAGCACTTCATTTCAGTGCGTTCAAATCTTGCCCCCTTACATAAACATTGTCTCCATCACAAACAGTCACCTAACCTCAGAGGACAGACTCCTAGCATTCTCGCAGCAAGGGCTCTTCATCAACATACGATGACTTTCTTTATCTGGCATTACTTTCTGCCCTTGCCAAATAAAAATCATCAAATTTGTCACAGGCTTATCTTGTTAGGAAAGCGGTGCTGTTAACCAAATATATGTGGGCAAAAAAATGCTAAAGGAGGTCTACTTTCAATAACCAGGCTAACATGTTTAGATTGTCCATCCCTGGCTTCTATTCAGTATCATTCTGGGACAAATTTAATATCCGTTTCAGTGTAACATTTTCCTGAAAGGTGTCAAACAGCAGCACCCCTAATCAAATCACCCCTGTGGCTAAGTGGCTCATAGAGTTACTACCAACACACAGGATGAATCAACAGCCGCAAACAAGAGACAATGGACACCCTGGAGGGAAAAGGAAAACGTATTGCAAATTCAGGTTACACGGAGGAGCAACATTTCTGTTTTTAAAATACGAAAATACATACACAGAAGCTAATTCATGCCCTCGTGCTGCATTTTCTTATAGGGTTCGATCGTACAGTTAACCACATTTATTTCTCACCTGCCGCACTCCCAGAAAGGTAAGATTATAAGATACAGCCTGTCAGTTGGTTAAGGAATGTCTAACCTAGTTGAAGTTAAGCATATAGGGAAGAGTGCTGTCATCACGACGGTCACACAGGTCATTCCTGACCCCAGTTCCCCTCACAAGAAGACCAGCTGGTAGCCAGCCACAGAAAGGACTGCACTGTGAAAATCCCAGAGCCCGGGGGTTAAGGCTGAAGCACTCCCTTGGACAGCAGAGGCCAAGATGGACGACTCTGGAAGGGGAAGAGAACCGGATATACTCCGAGCTCATGGCCTCTCCTCTGTGCTAGCAACTGCCACACCGAGAGGGCCCCCTAGGCCTAAGGTTTCGATAATGGAGAAGAGTCCAAGGTGGCCATCTAGCTCCCCCAGCACGCGGAGCACTTCCCAGGAGGTCCACTCAGGTTTTGCCTCACAGGGATTACTGCAAGAATCTTCGGGACTTGACAAATGGGGATAAGAGTGATATGGAGAAGGGGGGAAGACACAGAGCAACCAGTGCTCAGGTCTTAGCAGGCGGCCTTCCTGCTTGCCACAGCACCTCAGCGGAGAGCCCGGCCATCTGCAGAGTTGAGCCAGTGACCCCCTTTGATAGGGAGCTGACCTGGCAGTTCTGTCTGATTTGGAGACCCAGTCAGTGGGTCATATGCTGGCAGTGGAGCCTGGTCTACCACCCTGCCCAGGGAGGGAAGCAAAATCCCAATCCCACCTAAGTGCTGAGCCAGAGCACTGGGGCAGCTGTACTGCCCATGCTCCAGCCCCATGTGGCCAGGCAGCCAAGTCAGCAGCCGTGCCCAACTATTAAGCATAGCTGCAGGACCCACATAACTAGGGAACCTAAACTGTCCCAGAGCAACACGGGGGCCCAGCCTACTACACCTGCCAGGTGCACAGCCCTGCCCATGTATGATTCCATCCAACCATGGAGTTCGGCCTACAACCCTGACAAGCAGGGGAGCCCAGTCTATGACACTGTCCAACTGCTGAACACAGCCTACTACCTTGCCAAGGCAGGAAGCCCAGAGAGTAACCCCGCCCAACCAAGGAGCACAGTCTGAGGCCCCATGGGATAAGAAAGTTCAGTCACTGACCCCGCCTAACAGTGATCACAGGGATACACGCAGCTCTTCTCAGCTTCACTGACAGTCTTCAGCCTAGTGCCAGAGCACAGCCTGAAGCAACAGCAGGATTCTAAACCATGTCTGTGGCCCTGCCTAAACAGACTCTAGACAGTGTCACCATCAAGTGTGGAGCACAATTTGAGACCCCCGCATAACTAGGTGCAGTTGCAGAGCCCAACCTGCAGCCCTGATCAATCAATCCCCAAGTCCAACCTGCCATACGAGGAAACACAGCTTGGAACTTTGCCTAACCACTAGCCCAGCAAGTGACCCCATTTGCTTGGAGAGAACAATGAGTAGCCCCACCCTAACAGGGGGAGAGTCTTCCAGTGATCCTGCTTGAACATGGAGTCCATTCAATGGGTTCATCCAAGCATGGAGCTTAGCCAGCAGTCTCCCCCCAACCTCTGAGTATAGGCAATGGTCTCACCCAACTAGGGACCCCAATAACAAGCCCTGCCTGCAGAAGCTACTTAGCTGCCCTGCCCAGTACCCCAAACTGAAGTGACTGGTGAAAGTCTTTCCTGCTAAAGCGAAGCTGTAAAGTCTGGAAAAGGAAACTGCTTGAACAAATGGACAGAGCAAATGCACGGTATAATGCAAGGAACCAAGAACATAAATCAACAGAGAAACATGACATTACCAAAAGAAACTAACAAAGCCCCAACAGATGACCCTAAAAAATGAAGATCTATGAATTGCCTGAAAAAAGAATTCAGAAAAATCCTCTTAAAGATTATATACAGTCAATCAAAGGAAATTAGGAACACAGTGCATGAATAGAAGGAGACATTCAAAAAGGAATTGGAAACCATACAAAAACGAACAGAAATCTTAGAGCTGAAGAATATAATGGCTGAAGCACTCAATAGATGAAAATGGCAATAGTAATTCCTTTATCAAAAAATTACATTCAGTCCACAATGTCATCAATAGATTCTTGCGAACTGTGACTTCAGGTGAAACAATGTAGAAGGAAGCCAATTTTAGTTCTTGTGGCATATTTCTGGTCACAAGAACACCACCAAGTTTCAAAATAATTACATAAAACACTTCTAATATTAAACAGTAAAATATTTTCATTCATTCCAAACTGCTTATTCCAATTCAGTGGAATAAGCAGTAGTCTTATCCCAGCAGGCAAAAAGTCATGTGTCACTTAATGACATTTTAGTCAACAATGAACTGCACAAATTAAAAAAATGAACTGCATATATAACGATGACACCAATAGGCTATACCATACAGCCTATGTATGTAGTACGCTATATACCATGTAGGTTTGCATAATTACATGCTCTAATGTTTATGCAAGGATGAGAGCACCTAATGATGCATTTATCAGACATATCCTGATGAGTAAGTGATGCATGACTGCATATTTTAAGCTAAAAATTGTCACAATGGACAAAGAAGGTATTTATATATAAGAAATAGCTAATTCATAAAGAAGACATAACTATTTATGCACCTAATGTAATCTTAAGGAAAACATTATAGTTCCTGACTTCAAACTATGCTACAAAGCTAGAGCAAATCAAAATGGTATGACTGGCATTGAAAACAGACAAATAGACCAAAGGAACAGAGTCCAGAACTAAGAAACAATGCCATGCATATAAAATCCAACTAATATTTGACAAGGGAACTGAGAGTACTCAATGAGGGAAAAATAGTCTCTTCAATAACTGGTGCTGGAGAAACTAGACATAGTCACATGCAAAAGAAAGAAAATGAACCTTCTCCATCACTGACAAAAAGTAACTCAAAGACTGAAATGTAAGACCTGAAGCCATACAAGTCCTAGAAGAAAACAGAGAAAAAGTCCTTTGTCAATGGGGTCTTGCCAATGATTTTTTGGCTCTGACAGCAAAACACGCAATAAAAGCAAATATAAGTGGGACTGCATCGGACTAAAAAGCTTGTGCATACTGAAACAAAACGACAACCGTGGGATGTCAAAGGGTGGCTCATGGAAAACCGGGGCTCTCATCAAGTATAAGTAGGGAATGTTTTCTTAAAATTTAACAGGTTCCTTTATTCTATGACTTCTCAGAATCTTTAAAATGCTAAAGAACAATGTGACAGAAGCAGAGTCTCTCAGTGCATTTGCCCACAGAAACTATTCCATAAGCAATCAGTATTTCTCAGGAGTCCTAGTCTTTGGAACTCAGTCCGGGAAACTGAATAATTGCTGAAACTTCTTACAGCTCCAAAATTTCATTATTTTCTAACAAAGTATTAATTGAATGTAAGAAATAAACAAAGCAAATCAAGAAAGGAGTCAGGAGGCTGCATTCTCAGAATTTTGGAGCCAAAAGGAACTTTAGAAAACAAGTAATCATTTCTCAGCACCCCACCTTTTACTCAAAGCAGCACACCACCCTCCGAAAATCTCATACAAAACACCAATATATAACATGGATTTAGGAAGGCCTGCTCAAGTCGAATTAAAGCAGAGGGCTGAGATCCACCCACTGGGATTTCTCCTTGCGGCAATCCAGATGTACCTTCTCAGAAACCCACTGCCAAAAGAAAGCAGGGTGAAATCTAGTGACCCCTGGTCCCTCAGGTGAAGCTATTCTGGGGAGGAACTAGGAAAGCTGACCTCCATACATATTCACAGGAAGGTGCTTCAACTTTCCAAAGTATCATCTCAATTTTAACTATAACTCTGCCAAGTCAGATAAGCATTGTGTAAAGAGAATTATAAAACTCTACTCTAGGAAAAACCACAAGAAAATTAATGCACTAAAATGCAATCCCTTACAAGTGAGAAGCCATGCAAGAGTTAAGTGGGGGGAGTCACGTGGCTAACTTTGGACTTTAAGACATCTCGGGCAGTAGGGAAGGGAGATTTGACTGTGAGAGCGGCTTGAGCAGGCCAGTGATACCACATGCCAGGTAAATCTGGCAGGACTTCTTGTATTTCATTTCTTGTTTATGTTTTAATATTTAATAAAGTATCTTTGGAAAAAATCAAGCCTATCTCAGCTGTGCTAGGGGAACCACAAAGGAAAGGCTTGTCAGGAATGGGCGAGGGTTTTCAGAGAGGACACTTCTCTAGAGGTCAACATGGTGGAGAGAACAGACACGGGAAGCAACACACTTCTGAGGGAAG